TGCTGTGGGTTTTTACTGTTTTCTCTGGTCTTATCAGTGAGAAATTTTCGAAAAGTGGTGTATTTGTGAGTGAGGTGACGTCGGTCTTGCACAACAGTTCTAACGAAATTTGGCTGTCGATTTGGTGAGATCTTTTCATTTTGTTTCTCCACGTGCTCGCTTTAAATTATCGTAGCATTTTTTGGTGGTCATAAGGCCAGCGGCCAGCCTCGTTCTTAGGCCGTTTTCTGTCCCTCGATCGACGAAATTTTATCACAGCTTGTGATATCTTATCTATTTCTTTTACGGTCGTAATTTGCAAAACTTATCATGCTACCCGTTTGTGCTAAATGTCTTGGGTCGGTTAAGAACCGTGCGGGTTCTCCCTATTTAACTTGTCCTGGTACGTGCGGCAAGCATTTTCATTTTAATAAATGTGTTAATATTTTGGACGATTTACATAACCAGGTGAGCACCATTCCAGGTCTCACCTGGAAATGCACTGAATATGCCAATAAATGCGTGTGCCTAGATCCAGAATCTTTGAACGATTTCCTAGCTAAAAAATTTTATGAGATGGTTAGCAACATAAAAAACGTGATTTTGGACCTAAAAACTGAACTAGTAACAAGTGCTGAAAATCAGATTAAAAATACTCTTCCTGATCCTAAACCTTCTCAGATATATTGAAAAATAAAACTACACCCGTGATATTAATCGAAGCCAAAAATTCCGTACAGACAAAATTAGATCTCACATCTCATATCAGTCCCCTAGATACCAATCTGCAGTTTGAAAAACTAAAGAGTAAAAAAAAGGTGGCATGATCGTGGGAAGTATATCAGTTGAGCAAAACCAACCGTTTCAAGAAATTGGTAGACGAAAAACTAGGAAATGCATACGTAATACGCGAATCTAAACGGGATATCCCCACGACTTCGCATTGTTGGCTTCTCGCAGTCTTATGATGAAAATGAATGGGATGAACTAGCAGATTTGGTAAAAACAACGAACAGTTCTATCTTCAGTTCTTAATCGGAATGCAGAATCCTAAAATTTTGGGCCACTAAAAAAGAAAAAAAGTCCATCAGGCCCTTTACAATTTGATAAAAATTTCTACGATAAATTAATGATAACGGGTGGTATATTTGTGGGCTACGATTATTGAGATTATTGCGTTGCATTTGATGGTTTAGAAGTTATTCGTTGCTTTACCTGCAACCGTTTTGGTCACTCCTCTCAGTTGTGTAAGGTAAAAATAAGTTGTCCAAAATGCAGCGGAAAGCACAATATTGCAACCTGTATAGCAGAAAATTATAAATGTGTAAACTGCATATGCCAAGGTATTAAAGATAACCAACATTATATAGGTGAACAAAACAATACTCAAACTGATGTTAAACATGCTGTCCGGTATATAAAGCTGCCTCAGACAAACTTAAATCTGATATATTCTCAGCATAGCAATTGCCAAGAAAACCTCGGGCAAGTGCAATTGGAGTTCCCTTAAGCAAAATAACTGAACTCTCAATAATGTATACTAAGATCGCATCATTATTAGCTAAATTAGACTCGTTCATTTTATATGTCCAAGACAAAAATCCAGCAGTCGTGTTATTAACTGAAACATGATTAGATCCCATAATCCACGGCTCTGTAATTGGGCTTAATGATTTCAATCTGTGTCAAACCGATCATATCGCCCGACTCGTGGGGGAGGAGTAGGTATATTTTTAAACAGGGCTCTTTTCACAGATTTTTCAATAAAAAGTTCTAGCAAAAACTTTGGTAACATAGAGGTGGTTGGCGTTAACTGTACAACTAGACACATAAACTTATCATTAGTGTGTATATACAGGCCCCTTAGTAGCAGTATTATAGATGATCAATTGCTTTTTGACGAAATTAAGTCACTCTCCAGTCTTCACTCAAACTTATTAATTTTTGGAGATTTCAATTTTCCCAAAATTTCGTGGCCAAATATTCTTACATCAGATAATGATGGTTCTGAGGGACTATTTAAGGATATGTTGCTTACAACCAACTTAGCGCAACTCATAACATTCCCTACCTGTTTTCGTATTAGTCAAACTCCTTCTTTATTAGACCTGATTTTAACGAATAATCAAAATTTTCTAAGTAAAATCAAGTAAAATCCGCCAATTGGTATCTCCGGCCATTGTGTTATTGAAGCCTCTATTCAATACTTCATACCCCCAGTTGAAAAATACTACATTAAAGAATTTTCTAAAATAAATTTCGATAATATGAAATTCGACTTGGCTAGTAAAAATTGGGACTTTCTTTATGAAACTGGCAGTTGTGGTGATGCTGGGGACATTTTTACTACCACCATATCTGATGCTGTGACCAAAAATACTATCAAAACTAAAATCAGATTTAATCGTAAGAAGCCATGGATTAAGCAGCCATTTATCAGACGTGCCAGAATGAAAAAAAAACTATGGGCTAGATACAAGGACACCGGCACTCAATCGGAATTTCTCGAACATACTTACCTCAAAAAGGCCAAAAAGAATTGTCAATCAAAATTAGTAAATAGTGGACCAAAAGCAGTCTACAAGCATGTCCGAAGTAAATTGTCAACCAAAGTCCCGGTTCCGATTATAGCAGACAAATATAACAAACTTGCCACAAGTGAAACAGAAACCGCAAACTTTTTGGCAGATTTCTTTGAAAGTGTTTTCACTTCCGAACCCGTCGGTAGCCTTACCTTCTTATCAAAGATCTGTGGCACAATTACTTTCTGATATTAACTTTTCTGAGGATGTTGTCTTAGGAGAATTGGAAAAACTGTCTGAAAATTGCTGTCCAGGTCCTGATGACATCTCGGCGCTTGTACTCAAACGGTGTACTATAGACTTAGCGGGACCCTTATCCTGCATTATGTCCTGTTCATTTAAAACCTCAACTCTGCCTTTTAGTTGGCATCAGGCACTAATATGCTGTCGTTGCTAAAAGTGACTTTAGTAATGTTCGTAAGATCGATGTATTCCACCCTCCGCTAGAGGTTCAACTAAAATTTTTTGCTGAATATAAAAAAAAATCAGAAAGGCTCCATACAGTATAATTAATGATTATCTCGCTTCATTTGACTGGTCTGTGATATTTTCTTCAAGTAATGTGAATGATAATCTTGATATACAAATATATTTTTCTTTTGGATTATATCAACTTAATATAACATTTCAAGATCACAAATCTGTGGTCCTGTGGTTGAAAAATTAAAAAGGGCATCGAGTATTATTATTTGAAGTAATAAAGTAATACAGAAGTCGTTTTTTTACTAGCTGTAAACACTCCTAGCGACGCACTGGCTACGACCTTGTGGACCAGATCAAAGCGTCCCCGCTACTCGCCGTAAAACACACCTTATTTCAACTGGGGGCCAAAACGTCATACCTAATTTTACATTTTGTAATAACTAATACTGAAATTATTCTTTTTCATCTTTTCTTCGATCCACCAAACATATAATGCTATATTCATATAAACTCCCGGTTTGTTGTTCCCCCCACAGCCGATCCCCCATGACGCGATTTCTACTTGCATATACCTGTCCTCTTCACCCAGAACTGGACAAATCAGCGGATATATGTACTTTAAAAAATTATGATAGTGAGGATCAAAGACTGCTATGTAGGTAAGGTAATTGCATTGCGTTTTGAATTTTTTAGGCGTGAAACTTCACGTGAATAATTTTGTACATGGTATATTTATTTATAGTTATTAAGGTATTTAGGGGGTTATGAAATAAATAACGTACGAGGTCGACAGTGTACTCCCGAGGGCGTCCCGCCCGAGGGAAAGTACGTCGGCCGAGGGTGTTATGTTCATAACCCCCGTGGTGCCTTCAACATTTTATGTCATCCTTACCAGCAAAAGTTTATAAATAAATACAAAATTCCAAAAAAAAGCTTATTCCCGTAATTTAACGGAAAAATCGACCTACCTTGGTCACTAGCAACGGCGTTGTTTACTAAATGAAAAATTGTGTGACAGGTGCAATATTACAAAATGTACGACGAAAACTTGCCGGAACGTGTTTTGGCAAGTGCTGCAAAAGCTGTGGAAGGAAGAATTCCAGTGAAATCGAAATCTGTTTACGAAAAAGAATATTCCCGCTTCATTCAATGGACAAACGACAATTCACTGAAAACCGTAAATGAAACCGTTCTGCTTGCTTATTTTCAAGAGCTAACTGCGGATTTTTTTCCGAATTCGTTGTGGACTAAATTTCCTATGTTAAGGAAAGAATTAATGGTTAAAAAAGTGGTGAATAGTGCTAAAAAATTTTCCCAATTGGAGGCCTATTTAAAGCAACGCTCAAAAGGCTACCAACCAAAAAAATCAAAGGTACTAACACGGGAACAGGTCTTAACGTTTCTTAAAAACGCTTCAGATGAATCTTTTCTGATGATTAAAGTCGCTTTGGTGATGGGTGTGTTTGGAACGTGTAGAAGGGATGAGCTTGTAAAAATGAAGCGCAGCGATGCTCGTGATATGGGTGAGCACATACTCGTCAATATACCAGCTTCGCCACAGTGCCAGAAGTATACGTGGATGATAGCGAATGTTCCAAACGGAAAAATGCTCGTTTAGTTTCTGGCGTAAACAAGTCAGTTGACATCAAAAAGTCAAGTCAATTTTCAAGTGTTACAGATTCCAAAGGTATTAATTTTTCAGGTCACTTTACTAATTGTACTTTTGAAATAAAGCAAAAAGAATAAATTTATATAAAGTACGTTATTGTTCCATTTTTATCATTACTCTTACTATAATTTCTGAATATTGAAAAATAACGCCCTAGGACCTATTAATTTCAAAAATAACGCCCTAGACCGTTATTTACATTGTAACGCGTATTAAATAAAGGTTGTTATTGAAAAATAATAATAAAGGATGACATAAAGAAAATAAATAATGCTCTTGATAATTCAATATCTATATTTCCGTTTAATCACAAATTTTTTGTGACAACCAAAACGTCATACCTAATTTTACATTTTGTAATAACTAATATTGAAATTATTCTTCTTCATCTTTTCTTCGATCCACCAAACATATAATGCTACACTTGTATAAACTCCCGGTTTGTTATTCCCCCTACAGCCCATCCCCCATGACACGATTCCTACTTGCATATACCTGTCCTCCTCACCCAGAACTGGACAAATCAGCGGATAACCTCCCTCCCCCTTACATGTATCCCTATTCCGTTCTCCTCCCGCGCATATGAAACTCTTATGCAGCCTGAATTTCTTCCCCAGCTTCGTCTGTCTTAAAGCCCGTTGAAATGTCCTCTTCCTCACTAGTGGCACAGTTACCTTCCTCAACACCGCCGATAACCTCTGCCTTTCCATTTCTCTCCTCCCCCACCCACTTGCCAGGCAATTCCGTTCGTCAACTTTAAATTTTCCCGCGGGCAGACAAATGAAGCCGACGTTCTCTGTTAGAGAGGACGGTTGATTTAGGATAAGTAAGGCGATGTCGTTCCACAGTGTTCCAGGTTTGTATTGGGGATGCAAAAGGATTTCTTTCACGGTTACATCCTGGTGTGGGAGGGGCTCGTCCTTGTTCTTGATATTCCATTCTCCTGCTCGCACTTTTACCGATTCGCTCTTACTAGTAGCGACACAATGACCTGCTGTTATAACCACCTGCGGATGGATTAGGGATCCGCCGCATATAAATGAGTTTCGTTCTTTGGATGAGAAGAGGGAGGAAGAATCAAGTAGTAATACCGTCCAGGAAAGCTCGCCGATGGAGGTTTTCTCCGAGTTGGAAGTGATGCGAATGTTGATCTTGTCGGAATTAGAGCTGGGGATGCCGCATTTTTTGAGAGATGGTGTAGAAAAGGAGGTCTTCAGGGGCATGTCGCAGCATAAGTCAAAGTGATTGGGACAGGGATCGTTTTCAAATCTGAAATAAAAGAACCATTACTATAAAATAATGCAATGTGTATAATAATAAAAATGTATGTGATAAAAATAACAAGAAAGAATTTATGTAGAATTTGCCTTCTGCTACGTCGCCGTAAATTAAACATCACTGCAACACTTGTAATGATAGTGAATTGCAGAATCTAGTCAAAGTAAAAATTTTAAACATAAATTGAAGGGGTTCGTCGAGATACATGATATCTCCAGGGCGAAGCTCCAGCTCATTACGAAGTGCACAGGTTGTTAAATTAGAACTATCCAGGGAGAGTACATAGTAAATGGTTTTTAATTTGTATAAAATAGCATTGTCATAGACGTATAAATTATGAATCCGTGTTGAGTTTTTAGCCGAAACATCCAGATTTTGGAAAAAATCAAAATCGTGTAATTAAATTTAATTTTGATTCCGCAAAAATATATTTGTTTCATATTTCATCTCAAACTTTTTCCCAATAAATCCTATCTAAAATATGCAAACTATGATGAGTTCGTGATTTATCATTCCGTTCATATTTTTTAGAATTTATTTTATTGATTAAATCAAGAACGGTTTATTCCATTTTCCTAAAAATTTGGGAATACAATACCGTTATTATTAGTATTACACTGTATATATCCAAATTGATTTAAGTGTTCTTGCAAAAATGTTGATGCCGTCATCACAAAATTTTGTCAAGGAAAATTCATTTGAAACATAAGCGTAGCACGCTTCTTTATATTTACTTTAACATTACACACACATCTCTATTTTAACTCAAAGGAGTCCTCATAAAAAAAATGAAATTCGCAAAATCAAATATTATAATTTTTTGAAAAAGCTGGATGTGTTTTATTTATATCAGGCGTGAGGGAAGTATTGTCGAAATAACCTTCCACAGTTCCACAGTAGTATCCCTATGGAGAGAGTACAATCGTTGCTTGTGCTATTATTTCAGTGTTTAGAGCAAAAATGACGTCGTGCTGTTTTAACAGTTTAATTTAATTAACAAATCTTAAAAAGTTAATGTGTTAGCTTCAAACTCTTTAAAACTGAGATATTGCTTTCCCAAGTGCAAAAATCGTTTTATTTAAGAAAACTGTGATTGTCTGTCCAAATCTCCAACTTTTCGAATATGATATCAAAGAAGAAGATTACTTTGCAAAATATGAATTGCAATTATTATAATACCAAATTAGCTTACAACGTGGTTAATTTTTGAAACAACAGGAACAGCGTAAGCCAATTTGTCATAATAATACTCGTATTATTTAGAAAATTATAAAAAATACAGGGTTAGTCACGAGAGAATTACTTCTGAAAATTATTTTTACGCAACCCAAAATACTAATACCCTGTACCACTTGATATTATCTAAATTTAAAATGAAATGCCTAATCCATGATTGCTTTGACTTTGGCAGTGTCACTTTGACGTTAATTAATTTTTAACATTTTTTTTTCATCGTTGACTCGCCTTTAGAGCCCCATTGGATCGACGACATACAGTCAGATCAATCTGGGCTATACTGAAGCCGTAAGTGCTCTACCAATGTTATTCGCCGCTAATGTGCATGTGTTAATTCGCCATCTCTGCGTCACCTAGAGCCTCTTCGAAGTGCAAATCTACAACCTCTGGATTTCTTCGGCCATCCATTTACAAAAAAACCGTAGCATCCCCCCAAAATGCCCAACATTTTCAACAGATTAGTAGTTAAATTATTTACTTACTTGTTTGAGTTTGTGTTGTAACCTTTGAATAAAATGCCGTAAAAGGAATTTTTAGCAATAATTTTCTCGTGATTAATCGGTTGCAAAAGATCAAGAGGCACACTGACAAATTTATTAGCGGCGCCGGAGGAGATTTCTGACTGGCTGCGGTACCACCATGGACACTCGCGTAACCTCCTTTTCCACAATTGTCAAAATGAGATTGCCAAACTCAAAGCATTCATGGATTAAGCATTTCATTTTAAATTCAGTTAGTATCAAATGGTACATGGTATTCGTATTTTGGGTTGCGTAAAAATAATTTTCAGAAGTAATTCTCTCGTGACTAACCCTGTATTTATAAAAACTTGTTTTCTTGTACTATGGAAATAAAATAAAAATGTAAAAAGCTGTAACTTATTATAATCGTAAAAATAGGCCATGCATGTTCGCGTAAATAATATAAAAAAGTTGGTCGACGATTATTTCGACAGAAGGGGGAACTCGGCTATGAAGTACTGTATAACAAATCCAGCTGTTTCGAAAAATTAAATTTGCGAATTTTATTTTATTTATGACAACCATATAAGTTAAAGTAAACATATGTATGTAGTCTTCAAGTAAAGGTAAAGAAGCGTGTTACGCGTTTGCTTCACGTGAGTTTTTCTGTTACAAAATTTTGTGATGACCTCATTCAACATTTTTGCAAGAATATTTATATCAGTTTGGGTAGATGCACTTTTTGGGAAAATGGAATAAACCATTCTTGATTTAATCAAAAATAATAAAAGTATTATATTCCCAAATTTTCGGGAAAATGGAGTGAGTCGTCTTGAATCTTGATCTGTGATACCGTTCGACAAAAAATTATTTTTTTCGAGTCTTTATTTTAATCATTATTTTCTGATTTTCTATATTGAAAAATCAGGAAAAACTTTGTTTTCTTCTTGATGACTTTGCTTTTGTAACTTTGATAGCAATAGATATATATTTAAGGTTTTGAGTAATAAAATAATTACTTTAGTAAATAAGGCTAGGGCAATTTCAATCATATTAGCCGTACAATACATTTCATGTGACACAAAATACAAAAATGTCTTCAAGACAAGCGCAGATACAGGATTTCGTTTAAGGGGAGGCAATTTTTGTGCGATTTTACCTATCTCCCAGAAAATTCGTTCTAAACAAACTTTTCACATAGCATGGCTAAAGTGACATTTGGTTGTTCGTCCACACGTATAGTGTATTTACAAAATAAAATGCGATTTCAAAATTTTGAAATTGGTCAAAATAAAGTACCTCGGTCGTGTGTCAGGGGAGGTAATTGCACTCATTGTCCTGCTATATTTTATAGAATCAAATTTTCCTTAATCTGATTGTAAATTCATACATTTATTTGTATGTAATATACACTAATGGGCTGTTCCTCTAATTTTTTTTCATGAAAGAATTTGTATTTTTGTAGACGTTTGTTATTTTCGAGAATATTTTGTTTTATTTCATTTACTTTCTTCATATATCAAGTTAAATTGTCGAAAAAATTTATATTTGCGCCCTTACAATCATAATTCGCACCACTTCAAAGCATCTTAATAATGAGACCGTAACCTTGCCGCATCGTTATTCTGTACTGCATTAGCTAAAACGTTGATCTGACTGCCGCTCCAAACCGCTAGCCCCCGGCTAGTTCATCTCTTTTGACATCAAGTCGTACAGATAATTTTATCTCTTTCTTATTAGTTGATGCCTGTGGTTGACGCGATCAGGTGTAAATAATACTTTTGTCTGAGACTATACAAAGAAGCGATTACCTACAAATTCTTATCGTGTAGACATCTTCATTTAACATACACATGTTAAAACTTTTATGACTTAAGCGGCTTAAGCCAAATCACACTTGTAAGTCAAACTGGCTATTGTATTACTTAACTTAGTTCACAGCTACATTATGCCAACAATGGACAGTAATAATCTTGCGGTTCGGGTCCACAAAGTTTACAATAGCCAGTTTGACTTATAAGGGTGCTTTGGCTTCAGCCGCTTAAGTCATAAAAATTTTAACAGGTGTATGTCAAATGAGGTTACAGTATAAGTAAATCTAAAAAATATGAATGCAATGATAAATTACAAGTATAGACTAATCATATTTTGTACATTTTAGATAGGATTTAGTTGGCAAAATTTTGAGCTGACGTCATCAATTTTTTGGAGGGGCTAAGTAAATATATTTTGATTAAAAATTTGTCATCAGTTATCATAGCTTTAAAACATCTGCAAGATTTCAATTGTTTTATAATTATTATTTTTTTCCCCCCAAAAATCTGGACTTGTCGGGTAAAAACTCAACACGGAGTAATTAACTACATATATAGTCCTATATTATTTTATACAATATAAAACCCATTTAATATGTACAGGGTCATTATAAAATATTGTAGTCAACTCACCTATGAAAAACAAATGAAAATTTTCTCGTGCCGCTAATCACCAAAATGATTTGAACTGTTTTGAAATGTCACGAACGTCCAAACAAATCTGTCAGATGTGTCAAAAATTGAAATGCCCGGTTCGCGGTTTAATTTCATTTTAAATAGACACGAAAAGACGCCAGGCCAGAGCATTAAGGGTTGCATTGTTATCGAGCATTTGTGAACGCCACTGCAATACATTTCAGTTTCAAAAATTGTAAATTGTCAGAAAAACGTTTAAGGGCTTTGTCATGAATTACACCTTGGAAAGTCGATTGGAGTTGAACAGAATAAATCATCTGGTCTGTTTTGCAAAGAAGCAATAATTTTTCAAATAATGAAATCCAAAAAGTGAGGTTAAGTTTGTCGAAACCAATGAACACGGTAATTATTTAAAAAATTACATTTTTATAGGTACCCAGAAGGTAAAAATTGTGAAAAATCACGTAATGGACAATGGCAGAGCAAGTCTTATCACAGTTAACGAACACTATGAGTACCTAATGAGTTTTTGCAGTAAATAATTTTGCCAAAGTTGTGATCCCGCGAAAGTTCTGTTTGTAAATTGTAAGGAATCGTCAAAATATTGGTGCAGACATGGTTTGTGACCGGTGCTTTTCTCTTGAAAAAACACAACTGAAATCCATGATCTTCATCCCTACAATAGGTGAAAACTGCTATGTCCAAACATTACCTTCAGCTTTGCAGTTTCTAGATATCTGAAACATGCCAGATCTGCATAACAGGAATGTCAAAGAGGTTCTACCCAAAACACGCCCACATGGCCATCCTAATATCAAGATTTTTCAAAATTTCTATAAGAAAA